ACCAGAAAAGAAGTGAAGATGTAATTATAAGGAACCCGCTGTCGGATTCACCGACAAATTTTGCATTTGGCGCCCAATTTTTATCCAATTTGGTTCAGCGCGGAGCAAGCACCAAATTTTCTAATGTATAACTGTATAAACAATTTGTTTATACCGAAAATACCGACTTCTTTTTACTAAGGTTTTTTTTTGATTTTTTCATGTGAAATGGAATATTTTAGCGCCATGGACAGACAGAACGCATAAAAAATACTCATCTGCGTATTCTGAGCATATGCAGATAGAAGAAAAAGAAACACTTTGGCTTCAGAAAGCAAACAAAGCTCTTGTTTTGCAGCCGTGATTCTTTTTAGGTTTCCAGGACCCTAAAATATCTAATTTCGTACGCAAAAATTCAAAAAAGTCGATATTTTCGATATCGGTATTTCGGTTTAGACACTGATATCGATGCAAATTACTATGCAAGTAATGACTTTATGGTTAAATATGGCTTTATTGTGTTCCGCTCTCCCCTTATTTTCTCACAATGAATCTGTTTATTGATATTATTGTCTCATATTATTTTTTGAAACTATTTTTGCATCCCAAACAAACGAAGAATATTTTTACAGTTTTATTTATATTTATTTACAAATTTAAAGCTGTGCTAACTTGAAATTTCCATTTGCTTATCGTTTGCCTAATGGGTGAATGCGTGTTTTATCGCTAACTTGATACAAGTTAAATAAAATTGCTAATCCAACAGGACTGTTGCTACACAAGAAAATCATTGAATGTGTCACTGGCTAGATATTTATCGCTTTACACGAGATTAGAGAAAGTGCACAACAAGGTAACTGATGTTACAGAAAGAATGGTGTATAGTGTTTACCATTGAATGTCAAAATCATTGAATGTATTCAATGATTTTCTTGTGTAGCAACAATCCTATTGGATTAGCAATTTTTTAACTATTAGTAATTTATTTAACTTGTATAAAGTTAATGATAAAACACAATTCAACCATTAAGCACACGATAAGCAAGAGGGAGACCCTTGAAAGTTAGCACAGCTTTAAATTTGTAAATAAATGTAAATAAAACTGTAAAAATATTGTTCATTTGTTTAATGTTTCAGTGAATATGTTTGTGTTGTTCATTATACTTTGTTGCGAAATAAAAGTGTGAGATTCATGCTGGGAAACTTGGTGATGAAAAGTACATTTACTCTTATGGAAGAAAAGCATAAAAAATAAACTCTTAATTAAGTAATCAATATCCACTAGAGCTATAAAATCAGCTCTGAACGATACCGCCGGATCTATCCCACTATATGTATATAGAGATGGTATAAAGAACTCAGGTTTACCTTTAAGTGTTACGGAGTTGCCACTTTCAGAATAAAACAAAATAAAAATAAGATTTCAGTTTAAGAATTCAAAATATTTTTGTATACGTTCAATTATTCTTCATTCTCCTACAACTTTCTATCTTACATTTACTAAAGTCAATCGTTGAGTAATAGAATGGAGCCAGCATCAAAAGTACGGACAGTCATACCTGAGCTTTTAGTTTCAGTTATCTGTTACTGAATAATGGCCGATTAAGGTCATTAGTGTGGACAAAGTGTCTAAAGACAGATTGACGAATAGCGCTTTTTTGAGCGTAAAAATGAGACAATAATTCGCATTTACCATTGTTTTGCGAATTCATAATTCATTGAGAACTCATGCTAACTAACAAAAATGATGAAAAAGAAACCAAAAAGTGCTTCTTTTGTTCCTTTTGTGAAATCGTAAATTGGGACGAATTTGTAGGCGAGAAATTTCGGGTACCCACGAATTTGTAAATCGAATTGGTCGACCATCGACGAATTCGTGAAATGATCTTTTTGGTCCTCAAGAATTCATAAATTCGCAAAAGTGCGATAAAATGCGAATTTACGAATTCGTAGATGTCAAAGCATATCCGACGATTCGTAAATTCACATTTTATTGTCAAGAAACTTTTCTATGAGGTTGAAAATAGATAGATTCGTCTCTTCGCATCAGTTCCATACTTCTCACTTCAATTTGTCGTTATTTTTACGAATTCGTAAAATGCAAATTGATATCAAGGACAAGAAATTTTTCTATGAGGTTAAGAAAACAAAGAATCGTCTATTCGTATCAATTCTTTCTCAATTCGTCTATAGCTTTTTGACTTCGTAAAATACGAACTGATGTTCTACCCTTAAAATTTTGGTAGGAAAATGAGAGGAATCGGTCTCCTTTCTGTGTGCATGTGCGAGGGGTCGGGCAGTGAAGATAGCTGTGAGTATTTACACAACAAACCAAACGTGTTTTATGCACTGTAAAAATTTCTTGTCCTTGACATCAATTCGTATTTTACGAATTCTTAAGAATAACAAATATTCATTTTCAACCGCCAGATCAGTTCGTAATACGAATTCGCTAATTCGTATTTACGAATTAATCTAGCTTCAGAAGCAGTGAACACGAATTTGTAAACTAATTTTACGAATTATTTGCGAATTGATCAGTATCGTGTTTGATCTATTCGCATATTTACGAATTCGTAAGATGATTTCGTACGAATTTAATACAGTTCGCATCAATTCGCAAAATAAGCGTAAAATGCGAATTTTTGCATCATTTTTACGCTTAGAAATTCGTCAACTCGTCTTTAGACACTTTGTTCACACATCTCATTAAGGTCGAATTATCGTGAATGAAATGGAAGTGATCTCATTAACTCGAATCAATGGAAGTGATCTTACTCAGCTACTATAATTCTCAAATTTGTCTGAAAAGTTTGTCTATTACTTCGTGTAATATCAATGTTATAGTATTGATGGCATAGACATTGCTGTAAAAGAAATCATGTCTTTACTGAGTTTATTCGTAAACAGACTGAAGAAACATGTGCTATAAAATGAGTATATATAGTGCGATGAACAAGAGAGAGTGATTGACCGAGTAAGTAGCCAGTGAGAGGAGAACTTTTCAAGCTTGGAAGAAAAAACTTAACAAGTTCATAACTTTTTGAAGGAAGGTTGTGACGAACTCAGACGGATGTCATTTTGTAGTCCGGACTTTTCTGCGTTCAGCCGCAAAAAATAGAGATAGAGTACCCTTAATATCTCTCTCTCTTATCAGAATTATCATCAAACAGAAGCTCTTTTAATTCAAAGAATTGCTAGACCGAATGAGTGGTGACAGTCGTTACTGCGTAGCCGTTCTCCAAAAGAGGATATCCTAGTAGCCAAATGGTTATTATATGATAGAAGTAGACAGTTATGAATATTATATCGAACTTATTGAAAGAGTTTTCTATTTTTTATTTATTTAGTGATTAACAGTACAAACTCTATGAAACATGACCTCACTCCATTCGCCCAAAAAAAAACCTGAGAAATCCAATACATCATTATCAAAAGCTGTTGATAACATTAGCCAAAAACTAGTTAGTAAAGATAATTCTCAAGTTGATTTTAATTCAATTTATGACAATTTTCAAATAATTGATAAAAATGAACCTGGCGAAAATCATATTTGGAGAATTATTGATAATTCAAAAGTGAGTATTCAACAATATAAACTCATGGATAACGTTGATACTTATTTTTATATTTTGTATAAACTTGAAAAATATGCTAAAAAATGTACATCATCACATGGTCAAATTGATATTTTACGAACTTTAATAATAGAAGAATTACAACGTGTATTTTCAAACACTGAAGGTATGAAGCCGAATTGTACGGTTCAAAATGAAAGTAAACTTGAACAAATAAATTATTTGTCATACATCATATCGAATTATGATTATACTGGTAGAGTGGAATTATATTTGGCATTTTGTAAATTGTCATTTCAATCAAAAGTTTTTACAAATAAAGAGTTTACATGGATGGAATTATTAAAACAAATTGAATATTTATTACAGAAAGGAAAAATTCAATTGATCGATAAATATGTCAGATACTATAAAGCATTTAAATCATTTCCAATTGACAAATCAACATTTCGATATCTTATCGACATTGAAAAGCCAAAATTATCATACCTGCAACATTATTTAAAGGAACTAGATATGAATACCTATGAGTTTTATTATGATTTTCTAAAGTCGTTTTGCAAAAATGTACGAAATCAATATTATTCAATCAATGAAATAGCCGAATTTTTATACTATTTAACTGCGTATGAAGATTCATGTAAACTTTATTGTGAAGAAACATTTAAATATATACAAAATCTTGAAAATATTTCAACTATGCTTGTACTGTTATCCAACCTACCAGCAAAATTTATTAAATATTTAGTAAAATACGCTTGTATCCGTTTGAAATCATCGTCTGTACATGTATTTAAAACATTTTTCGATCAAATTATAAAACATGAATCAAAAAGCTTACATAAAATGCTTGAAAAAATCTTTGAAGTCTTTGTTTCTTCTAAGCTTGACAATACAAATTTCAATGCCTTATTACAGGTGAATGAATCAAAAACATTATTGGAAATTGCAGTTCAAATTTCACTGAGTACGGATAAATCCTATATGTTGCTGATTATAAGACGTCTGCTACAATCGTGTTCCAGTTTAAATACTTCTGTTGATATAAGAATTACGAAACTGTTTGAACTATTTGCAGACATAAACGCGTCATGTTGTCAACTTGATCCATCTAAAATCGTCGGTGATGAATGGCTAATAAATTTTGTTCCTCGTTGGCCGAATGATTGGATCAAACTGACACAATATACATATCAACATTTAATAATAATTAGCAAAAATAATGTGTGGATTATTTATATATGGGAACAGTTAATTCGTCATAGTTTATTCGATTCGCATAGCAATAATTCTGAAAAATCTTTAGAATCATTTGATACATGGCTATTTAAGACCAAAATTCATCCTGATGCTAATAATGATCAATTGTCTCTTTCGTTGGTGTCAACCGTATTTTATGCTGGTTTACCATATCTTAAAAACTCAACATTACCCAAAATAGAAAATACTATTAAGTATCTCATCAATGCAAAACAAGAAATGAAATATTTAACAATGTTAGTGGAAATGAATATGAAAACATTTGATACCTTTAGTCTATCTTATTGTCAAATTAGAGAGGAAATTTTAAGTTTAAATGGTAATCGTTCTGCATATGAAGAATTTACGCTTCCTGAAAATATTAGAATATTGACTTTATTTAATTCATCCTTATTTACTGGCAAAAAAGAAGTATTTGAATTTCCACGAATTCATCAATCATTAATCAGTTTCATTCCACATTTAGAAAAACCAAAAGATATACGGTTAACAGATGATTTAGATATTATCGTACGTCGTAGTTGTGACTGGTTAAAATGGTTTGATTCATTTATAAATGTCTTCTTTCCCATAGTAGAATGGTTAGCCACACATCAAGTTCAACATGCAGATGAAGTGTTACAGAGTATTAAAAGATCACAAGATATAAATGCGAGATTAGCATTGTTAAAAGAAACTGTAGTAAAAATATCATTTCTAATTGAACCATTGATAAATCATATTCATCGATTATGTTGTTTATTCAATTGTTTAACGCCAATAACAATTGTAAATGCTGGCATTACTAGTCGATCAGCCGATGAATTTATCAAAGAAATGAAACGTTTCGGATCAAACAAAGTTATCGAAGTAAGTCGGCAAAAAAGTGCGCAAAACTTCATTACTATCGAAGATAGACAAGTTGTTCAATGGACTTTAGCATGTGAAAAATCCAATTGTGATGTTCATGTTGTATATTCAACTACAAAGGGTTATTATAAAGACATCTATAAAGAAAAACAGGCAACGATCGATAAAAATGTATTATCAGGAAGATTGGAAGTAAATGAAAGTGGCATTCTTAGCTTATATATTGACAATACTCAATGTTACACATCGAATTCTTTATGGTATAGTGTTCGTACGTTAAATTTGACACCCGGCTACTTATTTGAAGGTATATTCAAAGATGTTTTGAACAAATGTAGTGATACTGAATTGACTTCAAGCGATGTGAATAGAGTACTGACACATGTATTCAATTACGTTGATGATTTAATTAACGGTAATATTAGTTTATCAAACTTATCTAAAATTCAATCTTCATTCTACAATGATATTGACATTGATAATGAAGTTTATAAGTTAGCTACTAGTCGATCTGAACATCTTGATCTAGATTATCAACAACAAATTAGCAAAGTATGTAAATATTTGAAAATATATCAATATTACAGTTTTATACCGACTGTTTTGAAATGTATTTCGACTTTTCATATAGTGAATGAAAATGATTTATATATTAATGATTTAAAGACATTGATTGGAGAAAAAACAAACTCTCTTAAAGATATATCGACTTTAAACAAAAATCTGAAAGATACATTCACCGGTTTAGAAAACTCCCATTTAGAATTAATTAAGACTACCATAGACTGTGCACCATTAATTCTCTTATTTAAAAAGTACGATTTATATAGTCGAGATGGTCAACGACGATTTTTCGAATTAAAGGATACGTTAACTACACAATTTCAATTACAAGCGCGTAATAATCTAACGCTTAATGCTCTAATAATAACATATACATTATGTGAACCATTTTGTATTCGAACAACATCATTAGAAGAATTTATTTTTCGTTTAAGACAATTAACTAATATCGACGAATCACTTGCTTATTTGAATGTTTGTTATATGAATATTCAAACGATCAATACATGGTTATCAACCGATGCCAGTACGTTAGAAAATGCTGTGATAACAATGGAACATTTGTACAAAACAGGCGTTGTACACGTACACCTTCGACAATTGCTCGGTGATAACTCGTATTTTGAAATAACATACCATATAAAAAAAACATCTAAGAACGACGATATGGAGAGAGATAATATCTGTTGTAAAATGTCTATGTTGGATTTTGCTGATCATAAACGTCAATTAACATTTTCAAATGTGGATTTGGTCGATATGTCATCGAAAAAAGTCATGCTTGTTGAACAATTAGAATTATTAAAAATAATTGAGAAAATTTATACTTTATTGCAAAAATTAGAAAATTTAGGACATCCACACTATCAAGCCATAGTAAAACAATACAATATTGATGATGAACCTGGCAAATTATCGTCGATTTTGGATAGTTTAAAAGTTATTTACATGGATAAAAGTCAACAATATACAGATGATGATTCTACTGACTATGCAAATCAAAAACAAGAAGAGTTGAAAATATACGTTGAAAATTGTACAAGAAAGGTAGAATCCTATTGTATTTCATTAGATCATGCAGTAAACGATTGGATTCATCTTCTTGATGAATACCGAATGTCTCATATTCTATTAAACTTTTATTCAAATCGCCAAATTATGATTATGTTAATATTATTAACACCAAATATAACACGACGACAATTTTTATCGAAACTTTACATAAATCATTCTTGGAATCAAAATGAGCCTCAACTAACTCAACAGGAAAATGAACTGATATTTGAATGTTTAAATCATTATTTGCAATCAGTTCGAATTTGTGAATCAGTCAATTTATCAGGAAGTCGCAATATTACCAAGTTAATTCAACAAAATCAGACTGATGTAAGTACCAAAACATGTTTAACTAATCTATGCGTTTTTCTGGCTGGGGCTTTATCTTATAACAAACAAAAACCAAATCACTACAATACAATAACAACATCCACAAACGTATCCTCAGTTACAAAAGAACAATATTTGATCAAACTGAATACACATGACGTATGTTCATCTTCATTTGATCAAACCATGGACGAAGAAACGATAAGCACAATATTAAACGTATTCAATAACAACTTTCCATGTGCTTTTCAAATTCTTTCGGGTTCCACAGCATCAGAAGAAGATATCGTATTATTTTTCAAAAAAATTCGTATATTCGTTAGTGAAACGTTTATTGCACTGGATATAGATAACATGCATCATCGTTTACGCGAAATATTATTAACAAAACAAAACGAATTATCAAAAACAATGGAACCACACGCAAAAGTTTATTATTTTTCTCGACATTTAATTGCCCAAAAGGGAATGAAACCATGGTTCATTGTACAATGCTCACAAACAGAAACGTTGCGTTCTCAGATGATGTCCACTTATGCACACGCGAATATTGTCAGACCTAGTATTACAGTGGTAACAGGAAAATCAGGAACTGGTAAGCATACTAGAGACACGATGAGTATTCTTTGCTTTATTGGTAGAAACGGTTCGGCGGCAGCGATTGTGTACACTCAATTCTCTTAGCATGCATCATTTTCGACAAAAATGTCGTTTTCTAATGTCCTTTTGTTAGTGAAAAGGTATCGTCTCGTTGAGAAACTGTACGTCATCTGGCGCCATTTTAGTTGCATCATGAAACCATAATGTCGCCAGATGGAGTACAGTCTCATGAAATTTTCATGAGACTTTGTGATGTGTGTCATCCATAGTAGGCGTGAACCGTTGTAACTGAAACCGATCAGGACCGGCGTTAATTCTTCGCGTAAAAGATTGAGGAACTAGACCAATGTTCATGATCGAATGTGCATGAACCTGGTTATGCGTTCGTTACACACAGTTATACATTTAGGCAATGAGAGCTAAATTTTATTTTCATGCTGCTTTCCTTTTTCATACACGTAGTCGTTATCTCTGAACCAGAGTTGAAAGGGGACAAAAAAATATGGTGAGTCTATTGAAACTCCAGGGAGTGTCTACCAGGAGCTATTGGCACTCCCGTGCAGAAAACTTTGTGAGAGGTATCAACAGGGACGTCATATGAGCGGCCCGACATTTGAGGTTTCCTCAAACTATACTTTGACTCGCACAATTAGGACTGTATATTCGCGTTTTATTCGCATTGGCACGGGCATCTCGCTCATAGCGAAGGGGAGAGGGCAAGTAGAAAGCAAGAATAGTGAAAAAGCTAAAAATCTAATACATGAAAATTGGTATTGACACCCTTCGCTGGTGTCAATAAGAAGATCATCGGATATTTAAGCAACCAAATCTGCAGAGATCTCTTATACAGTCAACCGTAATGTCAAACTTCTTTGAAGTCACCTGCTTGCTGCAGTTATGGTTGGACTGGGTGTTCAACATAACACTGGATATTTAGAAACATATTCTCGCTAGATTTTTAGATATTTCGAAATGTACCGCCTTTATACATTTAGAAACTTACATTCGAGTTAGAAGTTCGATGCCTAATATTAAATTGCCACCTGTTTGATTGACAATTAGTCGACCAGAATGCACCAATATTAGGTGACTAACTCTATGTCGTCGGAAGGATGATAATAAGATGAGAAAATGATCGTTTCATACTCTGTTTATTTATGTAAAATCATCAGCTTTATATAGGATTGGACATTACACATTTTTAGGAAATATCCCATAGGTGATCGAGGTAAAATGATCAGGAAAAAATCCCATCAGATATAATACATATGAACAATAACGCTGGGGGGGAAATTACACATATATGTGATAACAGAAAAGGAAAAATCAAACATATATGAGTTAACCCTTTGACGGGCGGTGGTCCATATATGGACCACTTTTTTTGTTTATTACGATAGAATTGTGCCCATAATAGCTAGAACAAATTTGAAAAAGGATTTGAACAACTGAAAGAATTTCCGACCTG